GTGTGTTATGTACATCGGGCAAAGCCTATTCCTGATTATGTCTTGTACCTGGATAAACAGTGAAGTCAACTCTGTATCATCTGGTATAAATTCAGCAGTTTCAATATGCAAGATAACTCTTTCTGCATATTGTGAATCTGTAACAATATTAAGAGGTTCTTTAAAATCCCTTAGCACCATAAAATGGCATATAATTCTGCCTTCTGGACAGAAGTATAAGGACTTTGTTCCACCTTACTCAATTCATCTGATTTGTAACCAGCCTTTCCTGATTTATTAGCATCAGTATAAAATGTACAGGCTCCAGTTATTGTAGCATCTTGTACAATTCAAAGAAGAATCCAAGAAGTTCTCTTTATAAGGTTAAGTCTACCAATTTTTGGATAGTTGCTATTAATTTCTCCCAAAAAATTAGCACAAGCACTTTGCCATGATTAATTGTCTTTCCATAACTTTTTTATTTCATCAGTAGTGAAAGGCACTATAATTTCTGCTGGGTCTATACCTGCTAGTTGACGAAGTCTCAGTTTACCTTTTATAATTAATTCAGAGACCTTTTCTACATAAGTTTTCAATTTTTTACTTGGTTTGTGAGGTAAAAAGATCCATTCTAAAATAGTATCTTCCCTCTGCATTAAAATTCCCGTAGGAATTCTCGAACCTGTGTATCCTGGGAGGCGTGGAAGTTATGGCTGAGGGAGGGCTTATGCCAAGCCAAGCTGGGCAAGTCGAGCTGGCGGCAGGCAGCCAAGCCAGAGGCCAGCAGCTGAGCTGGTGGGTAGGGGGTGTGGGGTGGTTCTTAAACAAAACACTGGGCGCCATATAATGGCAAATCAATCCCACACCAGTTAGGTTTTAAAGGGGTATTTATTTTGGGGGGTAAAACTTACATACACTTAAACCGTCAGAAAAGGAGCCTAGTCGCTGGAGCAGGAGCCAGAACCAAGCGCCGGAACCAAGAGACCGAGACGAGGCTTGCCGCTCTTTTTTAAAGAGAAATATACCACGTCCCAGTGGACTGGTATTTCAGCGGCTATTGGCTGAAGGAGCGGAAGGCGCTCCCGCAGCACCGTGGGCTCGTACTTCAGCGACTATTGGCTGAAGGAGTGGAAGGTACTCCCGCAGCAGCTGACGAATACAGTATGCAACAGACTGTCCCACCACTGCAAGACTCTTTACAGATCACAGAACAGCTGGCACACACAGGAAGAAGAAAAGCATCTTAAGAACCTGATCTGTTCATTCAATTGACTTTTCTTGAACACATCACTTGTTTTTGAAATATCATTTAATATTTGTGAATGCTCATTATAAAGTACCCATATCTGGTGTGGGAGAATTGTCTGTATTTTGTCAATAATGTTTTAAATAAATGTTGATTGGCCAGTCAGGAAGTATAGCTGGGTCAACCAGACAGGAAGTAGAGGTGGGGCAATGAGAACAGGGGTATTCTGGGAAGCAGGACGCTCCCTCCACAGTTCTGCCCAGACTACCGAAGAAGCAATATGTGAGCTGTCTTGCTGAGAAAGTACCGAGCCATGTGGCTAACATAGATAAGAATAATGGGTTAATATAAGCTACAAAAGCTAATAAGTAGCCTGAGCTAATTGGCAGTCAGTTTTATAACTTATGGAGATCTCTATGTGATTTTCTTTGGGGCTTGCCGGCTATGGGTAACTGGGCAGGACATAAACCCCAACAAGCAGGCCCGTTCATATTACACATATCTCTATATACAAAATGGACTTAATTCCAAAAGCTATAAAGAGGAATAGCTGGGCCGTGGTGGTACACCCCTTCTGGGGCTTATGAAGAATCTATTTCTCAACAGATTCTTCTCTGAACACAGTCACAGATAGCTTAGCATTTAAATAAAGTTACCTTTCGGGGTGTTTTTTAGACGCATGCTTGAGTAGTGAGGATCTATTATTTATCTTTTAAACAAACATGAATAAAGCAGAACTCTCTGCCTGAATCTGATATGCACAGAGGCCAACATAATCAGCAAACATTATGCTCAGTGCTTTATATGCATGGCTGCATTTCATTCTCACAAGAGTCTTAGAAACAGGAACCACTACTTCTCCTTTATAGATGAGATTGCCAATGGAATAAGGGACAGTGGGCCCAAGATAGCTGATCAGTGACTGGCCCAGTGAAAACTTAACACAAAGGCCGAGACTCCACAATCTCACCTTTTCACAAACCAAGTTCCTCAAGCAGTCAATCCTTCAATACCTATTTAGAGAGTCTTTGATAATATGTGATGGTAAAAAAAAATGGTTATTGAATTTTAGAACAGTGAGATTTTTCAGAACTATACAACTGTCTAGCACCATGCTATTCAATGTGGTAATCATTAGTCATACGAAGCCACTCAATTTAAATTGTTTAACATTAAATGAAAGCTAAAGTTCAGTTCTTCAGTTTGCAGTATCCCACATTTCAAATGCTCAGGAGCAGCACATGACCAGTGACTACCATAATGGACTGAGTGAGTAGACTATAGAACATTCTTTGAAGAAAGATCTGAGAATTATACTAATATAAAGGATCCCTCAGAGGCAATGGTCAAGTGGGAACTATCACTATCTTTAAGATTATTACTGTTCAAGGGAGGAGTATGAATATGAGCAAAGTGGTCAAGATCATGATGAGGACACCCACTGAAACATTTACCTGAGATAAGGGGAGCTCACCAACACCAACTGGACTGGGAAGGAACAAGCACAGGACCAAACTAGTCCCTCTGAATGTGGTTGACAGTTGTATGGCTGGGACAGACTAAGAGGTCACTGGCAGTGGCACCAGGATTTATCCCTACTGCTTGTACTGGCTTTTTGGGAGCCTATTCTCTTCAGATGGATACCTTGCTCAGCCTAGATGTAGTAGGAAGGGCCTTGACCCTTCTACAAAGCAATGTGACTTACCCTCTCTGAGAATTAGATGGGGGGGGGGGGGGAGGGTATGTGGAAGGAATGGGAGGAGGGGAGGGAATTGGAACTTGGTTTGTTATTTTTTTAAAAAAAATCTAATAAATTAAAAAAAAGAAAACAAACAATCTTTATCTAATCCTCAGAGAGGGTAAGGCACATTGCTTTGTGGAAGGTCCAGGGCCCTCCCTACAACATCTAGGCTGAACATGGTATCTACTCGAAGAGAATAAGTTCCCAAAAGGTCAGTACAAGCAGTAGGGATTAATCCTGGTGCCACTGCCAGTGGCGCCACAGTCTGCCCCAGCCATACAACTGTCACCCACATTCAGAGGGACTAGTTTGGTCCTGTGCTTGTTCCTTCCCAATCCGGCTGGAGTTGGTGAGCTCCCATTAGCTCAGGTAAGCTGTTTCAGTGGGTGTCCTCATCATAATCTTTACCTCATATTCTAACTCCTTCCACTCTGCAACTGGACTTTGGGAGCTCAGTCCAGTGCTCCAATGTGGGTCTCTGCCTCTGTTTCCATCAGTTGCTGGATGAAGGCTATATGGTGACATTTAAGATAGTCATCAGTCTGACTATAGGGCAAGGCCAGGTCGGGTCCTCTCTCCTCTATTGCTTAGGGTCTTAGGTGGGGTCGTCCTTGTGGATTTCTGGGAATCGTTTGTTTTCTTTTAAAAAAAAGAAAAATAAGGGGCTGGAGAGATGGCTCAGTGGTTAAGAGTACTGGTTGCTTTTCCAGAGGTCCTGAGTTCAATTCCCAGCAACCACATGGTGGCTCACAACCATCTGTAATGAGATCTTGCGCCCTCTTCTGGCATGCGGGCATACAAGGAGGCAGAATGTTTTATAGATAAATAAAATCTTTTTTAAAAAAGAAAAAAAGAAAAACAAAAGATTATTACTGTTCAGAATGTTAGAGAGTATTTTACAACATGCATGCTTCTACACATCTAAACAACAACAGAAACATCAAGATTTTTATACCCCCATTGTTAGGACTAGACCAACCCTTTCTCTGTAATTTATTTCTAAGATGTACAGTCAGTCAATCCTCATTATGTAAAGGGAATCAGTTCTAGGAACTTCTTCACAGAGATACCAAAATGTATAAATGTTTAAGTCAGTTATATAAAATGATAAATGTATATAAAACTTATGTGTACCCTGTTGCATTTGAAAGCATAGCTAAATTGGTTGTAATAGTTAATCCAAGGTAAATGCTATGTAAGTAGTTGTTATACTATATTGGTTAGGGAATAAGACAATAAAAGAACTTTCTTATACATTCAATACATGTGCAATTGGTTGTTTTTTTTATTTTTGAGATTGCAACTTAATTACAACATTTTCCCCTTCCTTTTCCTCATTCCAAATATTCATCTCTACTCTTCTTCAAATTCATGGTCTCTGTTTTCACAACCCTGAAATCGTACATACAAGTAACATTATATGAACCCAGAAGATTATATTTAGGAATATATATGTATGCATGAATACATATATTCATGTGGATTTTTTAAAAGCTGCATCTGAATCCATAGACATGGAAAACACAGTTGCAATAGCTGACATTAGAGAAAGTAATAGCTGATACTTTGGGAAACTTTAGAAATTTATCTGTATAGGTATTTTCCCTGCAAGTGGATCTCCTATAACTGGGGCTACAGATGGTTGTGAGCCACCATATGAATACTGGGAATCAAATCTTGGTCCTCTACGTAAGCAGCGAGTGCTTTTAACCACTGAGTCATCTCTCCAGTCCCCTGCTCTGCTTTATATATTCTAACTTGGAGTCAAGCTATCTTGTTCGTTTTTGAGGTGCAGGACACAAGGTCTATAAATTAATTCCATTTCTTTTTCTGATTTTTCTGAGACAGATTTTCTCTGTAGCTTTGGAGTCTGTCCTGGAACTAGCTCTGTAGACCAGATCTTACTACTATTCACTTCCTCTATCATCTCTTAATGCCACAGTCTCTCTACTGTAAAAAAGTCAATAACTGCTCTTAACTTTATAAGACTTATATAATATAGTAACATAATGATCAAGCCAAATGTCTAATTACCTGGGTCAGTGGCAGAGATAATTGCTCCAAAAAAGAGACAATCCGTGTAGTAAAATTTATCAGAGAGCTGGCCCACAATCTTCATGAGTTTCACCACCCCATACATAAGATTTCTGTAAGATGATAAGTAAACAGTGTCAGGGGAAATCTTGCTGACATATAAACAGTAAATAGAGTGCTATTAGAACATTGCACTTTAAGGGACATACAGGAAAGCAATGGGCAGTTTTTATTGTTGGACAATTACCAGGAACCTAGGCAAATAGAACTTTGACACCAAAGAATGGTTTATTATCTTGCAGAAGTATCTAAATACTTCCTTTGTTATTGTTGCTTTTTTGTGCATGCATGGGGGTGGGGCACTGAGAGAAAGTACCCTGTAGACTAATCTAGCCTTGACTTGCTATGTAGCAGAGGATGACCTTCAACTTTTGATCCACTCAAGGATGGCCCTGAACTTCTGATTCTCTTGTCTTTGCCTTTCAAGTGCTATAATTACAGATATAACCCACCACCACCCAAAATTTTGTGCATTTTAGGTAAACTCCACTAACTGAATTACATCCCAAACCCTGAATATTTCACTCTTAAAAGTTGTTCTCATTGACAACTATATCATCTGTGAGGTATGATCTTTGATGAGTCATGAAGTTAAAGGGTCTTAAGCAACTAGGTGATAGAGGAGAATAGAAGATAGAGCCTCAAATAATGTATAATAAATGACTACAATGTAGATTTATAAGATAATATAGCTCAATTCATAAAAACTAAGGGTCTGGGTGAAGCTAGAGGGACAGATATTACTAATATCTCCATCAAGAAGTAGTGCAAAGAAGGTAAAGACAAAACCCTCTTGAAATGTCTTATTAGACCACCAGTGTCCCCACTGATATACCTGGCCTCTTGCACTCTTTGGGTGAGGCAGGCTAGCTATAGCCCCTCTCATATTGGGCAGAATGTGACATGGTCTAACAGGGATCACCAAGTTCAATATTTCAGTTTGGCTGGAGCAAACTTCCTACGTGGCAGATTATAATCGGAAACAGTAATGAGTGTTGAAAAATAGTCTATTGTGTATTACACATGTGTGTATGTATCTGTGTGCATATACCAATAATAACAGCAAATGCAAGGCTTAAAAGAATAAAAATAACATAGAATTAACTCCATGTACACTAAGGCCGAGACTAACCATTTAATAAGAGTTGTGATAGCAAGGACAATGTCACTGTCTTCCCTTATGTCTTTAGTGACTAGAACATTGGACTGGCTAGTGGTGAAAAAAATTGTTTGCACTGTAGAATGTAATCCTTATGAGAATTAGCTAAAACTTAATGCTTGCCTAGTGTGTGCCCAGGTGTTGCTCCAATCAGTTCAACTTCAGTCCATGACTACTCCATGGAACAGATATGATTTGTTCTTCGTTGCTTATCAAAGGTCTTCACGTTCATACCTTTCAAATTATTTCTTAAAAGTAGACTTTCTTCTCCATTCCTTTATAGTAAAATCCTACACCGACGTGGTACATTTCTGTCTGCCAGCCTTACCTCCATCTTGCTTCTCATCATCAATAATGCATGCCAGAGAACCTGAATGCATGTCAGTGATCTTTCACCCCATTAAGGAGAGACTCCAAGACCCCCCTTTTAAAGAATAAAATAGAAGGTCCTTGCCTTTATCACCAGTTTTCAAACTATTTTTTTTTGTTAAAGTCCTTATTACATTTAGATTTGCTTGTACATTTTTAAAAATATCACCTTTCTATTCCAAGATCCCATCCAAACTACCAGATGGCATTTAGTCATTAAATCTCCTGGTCCCCCTTTGGTTGTGACAGTTTCTCATCCACTGCTTGCTTTTGACGATCTTGGCAATTCTGAACACTGCTGACCAGAAAGTTTGCAGGGTACCCTTCAGTTGAGATTTGTCTGGCGTTTTTTCCAGATAAAGCTGATGTGTTTGGGGTAAATGAGCAGGGAGGTGAACTGCCCTTCTTACTATAAATCTCAAGGGTATATCATAACAAGGCTTGCAGTGTCTTCCATGCTTTCTATTTTTCAGCTACTCTCTTCTTTCCCTACTTTCTGTACCATCCTCATCATAAGAAGCCACAACATGCAGCCCACACTCAAAGCTAGCTTGGAATGAAGATCTGGGGATGAGGGGACTAAGTTCTAAAATTGGAAGGGAATACATTTATAACACTTAACTACAATTCAGCATGTGAAATGTCTCTTCTCATTTATTTTTTCATTAAATGATCCCTCTATGTATAGACATGGGAATATTCATTTTATATTCTGTATGATAATGTAATTAAAAGTTATTTATTTTGTTGTGTTTCAGATACTTATGGGTTCTGGCTATGGTAAAAACTTCAAGTTGGCTTTTGAGTTCCTTTGACATGCCTTGTATCTTTATGGTTGTCTGTCCTTTGAGTGTTAGCTTACTTTCTGTATTAAAAGATGCTCCATCAGCATTGGGCTGAGCTCTCAAAGTCCAGTTGAAGAGTGGAAGAAGTGAGAATATGAACAAAGAGGTCAAGACCATTAAGGGGTTACCCACTGAAACAGCTTACTCGAGCTAATAATGAAGCCTTTCAACTCCGGCCTGACAGTGAGGGAATCAGCATAGGACCAAACTAGGCCCTCTGAATGTGGATGACAGTTGTATGGCTGGGGCAGACTATGGGCACACTGGCAGTGAGGCCAGGATTTATTCCTGCTTCTTGTTATGGCTTTGTGGAATCTATTGTCTCTGGAGGGATACTTTGATCAGCCTAGATATAGTGGCGATGGCCCTGGTTCTGCCTCAAATCAATGTGCTAGACTCTGTTGACTCCACATAGGAAGCCTTACCCTCTCTGAGGGGTAGATGGGGAGTGGAGTGAGGGGTGAGGCAGAAGATAGAAGGAGGAGGAGGAGGGGAAGGAGTGGGAAATGGATTTGGCATGTAAACTGAGAAAAGATAGCTTTTTAAAAATAAATTAACAGAAAAAAAGATGCTGCCCTAGACTAAGAGGCACTATGTTTTTATCATAGAATGCTACAAGAAATTATGATCTAGTAATTTTAATTTTAATTTTTCTTAATTTTTTTTTGTTTTTATTGAGCTATATATTTTCTCCACTCCCCTCCTCTCCTCCCTTCCTCCCGCCATGCTTCTACCCTCCCCATGATCCCCATGCTCCCAATTTACTCAGGAGATCTTGTCTTTTTCTACTTCCCATGTAGATTAGATCCATGTATGTTTCTCTTAGGCTCCTCATTATTGTCTAGGTTCTCTGGGATTATGAACTGTAGGCTGGTTTTTCTTTGCTTTATATCTAAAAGTATGAGTGAGTACATATGATATTTGTCTTTCTAGATCTCGGTTCTCTTACTCAATATGATGTTTTCTAGATCTATCCATTTGCCCACAAATTTCAAGGTGTCATTTTTTTCTGCTGTGTACTCCATTGTGTGATGTACCACATTTTCCTTATCCATTCTTTGGTCAATGGGCATTTAAGTTGCTTCCAGGTTCTGGCAATTACAAAAAAATGCTGCTATGAACATAGTTGAGCACATGTCTTTTTGGCACGATTGAGCATTCTTTGGATATATACCCAAAAGTGGTATTGCTGGGCCTTGAGGAAGGTTGTTTCCTAATTTTCTGAGAAATCACCACACTGACATCCAAAGAGGCTGTACCAGCTTGCATTCCCACCAGCAATGCAGGAGTGTTCCCTTTACCCAACAACCTCTCCTGCATAAGTTTTCATCAGTGTTTTTGATCTTGGCCATTCTTACAGTTGTAAGATGGAATCTCAGAGTTGTTTTGATTTGCATTTCTCTGATTGTTAAGGATGTTGAGCATCTTAATTTGAATTTAATGTCCACATGCAGTTAACAACTACCATATTACACAGGATAATGCTCTATACTGATTGCCATCATCATACAATATTAAAATACTGCTTTCTACACCATATTGATGAATCTCATTCCTTTGGGTAGTATGTTAGACTGGTTATATCACAAAGGAAGACTTACCCAATAATGAAGCAGGAAACCGCTGTCCCAAAGAAGGCGTAGGCCAGAATTGATCCAAGATTTCTGAAAAAGTGTCTCTGAATGAAACAAAAAATAGGAATTATAATAATTATTGATAGCAAACCAAATTTAAAAAAATCAAACATATAAGCAAAAACTTTACATTAAAAGCCTCTAAAACCTAATATGTCACATGGTTTATACATCCAGCAATATCAGGAGTCACTGCAAAATAATGCTATTCAGTCTTAAACAGCGTGGTTTTAAAATATCCTTTGTACTAACTAAGCAAGTTACCAAGAACCTGATAAATTTCACACAAAACAATTCAGGCTAAAAATAATGAACTGAATTGAGTGTTTATATATGTAAACCTTTTTTTTGAGACTGGACAAAAGCCATCTTATTTCACAGTTCTGCCAGGTAGTCCCTATTTTAGTGGGATCTTAGAAGGTCATTAAAGATAAAAGTCTGAAACAAATAAATGAAAAAGTATCATTTGAGAATCTTTCTACTTAATTTGATGGCAGAAAGCAGACTACTAAATATATGCTCATTGGACTTGAGATATCCCCTTATATTCATCTGGTTTACTCTTTGGAGTCTGAAAAAGATGGACAACAGAGACAGGAGTGGATAAATGAAAATGGTAATGAATTTGATTAAAGATGGCCATGTTTGTTATAGGAAAAACTTATAATCAATGTTAAGACTCAGTGATTATTCAGAAAGTTGCAAGATTACAATATCCCTCTGATGGGGTTCTGCATATTCAAAAGTTACCTTCAAAATGAACACCACAAACACATATGCACACATGCTCACTTCTTACAAGTCATCAGATCCATGGGGTCTCCTGATGAAGAGAAGGTTATCCCTGATCTTAAGGTCTTTTAACAACAGGCAAAGGCAATTTCTATTTGAGATTCAAAAGTACTTAATGAGAACAGACAAGCAAAAGTCCTCCAAACACTCACAATTAAAGAAAGATTATCAAAATGTTAGCCATTATTTTTTGTTGTTTTTATTGAGCTATATATTTTTCTTGCTCCTCTTCTTTCATCTGCCTTCCCCTTCAATCCTCTCCCATGGTCCCCATGCTCCCAATTTACTCAGGAGATCTTATCTTTTACTACTTGCCATGTTCATTAGATCTATGTATGTCTCTTTTAGGGTCCTCATTGTTGTCTAGGTTCTCTGGGAGTGTGAATTGTAGGCTGGTTTTTTGCTTTATGTCTAAAAGACACTTATGGGTGAGTACATATGATATTTGTCTTTCTGGATCTCGGTTACCTCACTCAATATGATATTTTGTAGATCCATCCATTTGCCCACAAATTTCAAGATGTCATTGGTTTCTTCTTCTGCTGTATAGGACTCCATTGTGTAAATGCACCACAGTTTCCTTATCCATTCTTCAGTCAAGGGGCATTTAGGTTGTTTCCAAGTTGTAGCTATGACAAACAGTGCTGCTTTGAACATAGTTGAGCACATGTCCTCGTGGTATGATTGAACATCTTTTGGGTATATACCCGAAAGTGGTATTGCTGGGTCTTGAAGGAGGTTGTTTCCTATTTTTCTGAGAAATCGCCACACTGGCATCCAAAGGGGCTGTACCAGCTTGCATTCCCACCAGCAATGCAGGAGTGTTCCCTTTACCCCACAACCTCTCCTGCATAAGTTTTCATCAGTGTTTTTGATCTTGGCCATTCTTACAGGTGTAAGATGGAATCTCAGAGTTGTTTTGATTTGCATTTCTCTGATGACTAAGGATGCTAAACATTTCCTTAAGGGTCTTTCAGCCATTTTAGATTCATCTGTTGAGAGTTCTCTGTTTAGGTCACACTTCATTTTTTTATTTGATTATTTGTTTGTTGGATGACCAGTTTCTTGAGTTCTTTGTACATTTTGGAGATCACACCTCTGTCCTATATGGGGGTGGTGAAAATCTTTTCCCATTCTGTAGACTGCCATTTTGTCTTATTGACTTTGTCCTTTGCTTTACAGAGCTTCTCAGTTTCAGGAGGTCTCATTTATTGTTTCTCTCAGTGTTGTGCTACTGGTGTTATATTTAGGTAGTGATCTCTTGTGCCAATGTGTTCAAGTGTACTTACTTACCACTTTCTCTTCTGTGAAGTTCAGTGTGGTTGGCTTTATGTTGAGGCCTTTGATTCATTTGGACTTGAGTTTTGTGCTTGGCAATAGATATGGATCTATTTTCATTCTTCTACATGTTGATATCCAGTTATGCCAGCACCATTTGTTGAATATGCTTTATTTTTTTCCATTTTATATTTTTTTACTTCTTTGTCAAAAATCAGGTGTTCATAGGTGTGTGAATTGATATCTGGGTCTTCTATTTGGTTCCATTGGTACTCCTGTCTGTTTTTATGCCAATACCAGACTGCTCTCAGTACTGTAGCTCTGTAATAGAGTTTGAAGTCAGGGATTGTAATGCCTCCAGAAGTTCCTTTATTGTACAGGATTGTTTTGGCTATCCTGGATTTTTTTGTTTGGTTGGTTTTTTGTTGTTGTTGTTGTTTGCTTTGTTTTGTTTTTTGTTTTTTGCTTTTCTATATGAAGTTGAGTATTATTCTTTTGAGTTCAGTGAAGAATTTTGCAGGGATTTGACCATCATTGCATTAAATCTGTAGATTACTTTTGGTAAGATTGCCATTTTTACTATGTTAATTCTGCCTACCCAAGAGCACGGGAGATCTTTCCATTTTCTGGTGTCTTCTTCAACGTCTTTCTTTAAAAATTTAATGTTCTTGTCATACTGGTCTTTCACATGTTTGGTTAGAGTTCCTCTGAGACATTTTGAGCTATTAGTATTAGCCATTATTTTTAAAGATAGTGAAGACCCAGTAAGCCACTGAGGAATGTCGGGAAAAGAGCACAGCAGCATCAGGCTATATGAGGAAAGGGCTGTAGTTGTCTTCTGCCCTATGTCTCAAAGGGTCAAGACCCTGCTCTCATCTTTTAACAATGCTTGCCACTATGAGGCTCAGAAGTCAATAAAACATTTACTGCCCATAAGTGACCTGCTCAGTAAGTGACCTTCTCAGAAAACAATTCTTTAAGGACATGCCATGCCACATGAAGATGCTGCCTGAACAGATCATGAACATATTATATATATGAATATATATATACATATGTATATATATATATATACATATTTGATGCTATCTTAAGTCTTTTTTAATAAATGCTATTGCATTTATACAGAAAGACTTGGGGGTGGAGGTTAGATTTCAAAAATATCAACCACTACAATTCCCATTAAACCTCCACTAAAGAGGCTGGTAAGATGGCTCAGTAGGTTTTGACAATTTCCACCAATCCTGACAATCTGAGTTCAGTCTCTAAGACTTGCACTGCGGAAGAAGATAAATGACATCACCACCCTCCCTGCAAGCTGTCCTCTGACTTCTATTTGTATATTGTGGCATGCATTCACATAAACATGCACAGGCATATAAATAAAAGTATAATGATTTTTTTTTTTTTTTTTTTTTTAGTTTTTCGAGACTGGGTTTCTCTGTGTAGCAAGTTTTGGCTGTCCTGGAACTCACTCTGTAGACCAGACTGGCCTTGAACTCACAGAGATCTGCCTGACTTTGTCTGCAAGTGCTGAGATTAAAGATGTGCCACCACCGAGCTATAATGATTTTTTAAAAGTTCCATTAAGGGCTTATATGAGGGAATGCTAGGAGCAACAGTATTCAGGTGACATATCCAGACATAAATTGCAATCTCACATGCACTTGTGCTTGTACTCAGTGTTGGAATATGGTCTAAGAATGGAGATATGTGAGAGGAATTCTGAGAGCTTGTGAGATAACTCCAACAGGAGAAGAGTCTTGTAACTTCCGTCCCTTTATTGACACTGGTTTGTTCTTGGAATGTATTTTGTGCCCCTCAAAGGTGTAGTAAATAGGGGTAGTTTTACTTCGGATTATCCATTATCTTACTTTTGTTATTCAAAAATGTTTCCAAGCAGGGTCTATCCTTGAATTTGTACACATTCTCAAGTCAAGTGAACTTTGTTCATGTGACCTTGATTAACTGTCTTAAGTTAAGGTTGCTATTGCTGCCTTGAAACACCATGACCAAAAGCAACTTGAGGAGGAAAAGGTTTATTTCATTCACAGTTATATACAACAGCTCTTCCTTGAAGGAAGTCAGGACAGGAACTCAAATAGGGCAGTATCCTGGAGTCAGGAGCTGATGAGAGGTCATGAAGAGAAGCAGCTTCCTGGCCTGCTACGACATGACTTGTTCAGCCTGCTTTCTTATAGAACTCAGGACCACAAGCCCAGGGATGACACCACCCCCAATGGGGTAGGCCTTCCCCCATCAATCACTAATTAAGAAGATGACTTACAGCTGGATCTTATAAAGGCATTTTTTAATTGAGGTTCTCTTCTTTCAGAAAACTCCAACTTGTGTCAAGTTAACATACTAGCAGCACAGTCACTCTCCAAATATACTTATCTGATTATCTAAATAAAGTCAGCTATTGCATGAGACTTTAGTCTATCTCACTTTAGGCTCCATTCTCCCAGGCTCACACTGTCAACTAGAGTAGGAACACAGCTTTCTTTGTGGCAATTATTCCCAGGGTTAATAGAAACCCAGATTAGATAAACTTGCATTTATGACATTAGCTAAAGCACAAAATTAGAAATGTAAATCTACAAAAACACATGCTGTGCAACAATACAGAATCTTAAGCTTTCCTCTCCCCACACACAAATTATTCATTTCTTATTCAACCCTATTGAACTAAATTTTTATTTTGGAAAGATATGCCACTTGGCTTGCATATGTATCAGCATTTCATAATACACCAAGTATTTCATATATACTAACTCATCCAGTTCCCACAACAACCCAATGGAGTTTCATTCTAATTTACTTGTTTGTTTGTTTTGGTCATGCTGGAGATTGACTTAGGGTCTTGTGGGTATTATATAAGTGCTTCACCAATGAGTTAAATCATCAACTATTGTTTTGTTCTTTAGATAAAAGGCACCCTGTAGCCCAGGCTGCCTTTAAACTAGAAGTCCCC